GGGCACACAGAGCCCATTGGGAGGTGGGGTCTGAGTCCTGACTTCTCATTCCTGTTTCTCTAGAATGTCTCAGGAGAATGACACATGGAAAAAAGAGTGAGTAAGGCACCGGAGTGGGCAGGAGTGGAGAAAAGGGGTGCACGGGGCACTGAGCGTTTGACTATGCCCACACACACTCAGCTCTGGCCTCATAAGGGCGTTTGCAGGTTCAGCACCGTCAGCCTTGCTGGGAGGGATTGGGGGCCTGGACCTCTGAGTCCTACCTAAAGGGAGCAGCCTGGGATGAGGACTAAGCGGTCAGAAAGGGGAGGGGCGTGGACTCCTGAGTGCTGAGACCCGAGGGCCCTGGGATCTCTGGCTCCTGGATCCAGACAGGCCAGTGCCGGGGGAAAGAGCTTTAGAATCTACCCCTTCTGTGACCTCACAAGTACCTAGAATCCTAACTTACGGGGGCTCTCGGGCATCCAGGGTGCCTTGCTTAGTCTTGTCATAAGCCTGCCTCTCCCTCAGGGTCCTGTGGGACGAGCTCGCCGCCATAAGGCTGCAGAAGCTGGAACAGCAGGTACTGTGCTGGGAGTCCTCACCCCCGCCCCCCAACCCGGGGCCCCTTCATAGCCCCCCAGGAGCCCCATCCCCAGGGATCGCCCTGGGCGGGCTGGCCCTCCGTGGCTCTCTTGAGCCTCAGGTTCCGCAATTGGGAAGTGAGAAAATAGGAACTCGGGATCCTAGAGAAGTAAACCTTGGGGATGAGGCTCCAAAACTTCTAAGGAACAAGGGCCCTGGGGGCAGGACCCCCAGGTCCTGGGGGCGGAGGGGACCAGGTGCCAGGACCCCTGGTTCTGAGGAAGGAGGAGACGAGGGACTGAGGGCTTGGGTTCCAAAAATTCTCCCACGGATGCAGGCCGCCCCTTCCCCAGGGCTCCCCTTCCCCAGGCCCATTTTCACCCGAGTCTTCCGCAGGACTCCTGGCCCCCACACACCCCTTTCCCGCTCCCGCAGCGGCGGCTATTTGAGAAGAAGCAGCGGCGGAAACGCCAAGATTTCCTCATGGTTCAGGCCAATCCTGACACCTCCCTGCGGTCCTGCCGACCGCGCCAGAGGTCGGAGCGCCTCGCCGGGAACAGCGGTGAGGAAAGGGTCCGACCACCTGGAAGGGAGGGGCCTGTGGGAGCCCGGCAGAGCCCGGAAAAGCCCGAGTCACAGCCAATGGGAACCCCAGAGCGCGGGTGCGGGCCCTTTAAGGCCACGGGAAGGCGGGGCTGGTTAGAGTTCTGGGGCGGAGCCTGCGAGAGCCGGGGACCAACCAAAAGCGTAGGGCGGGGCCTAGGGGACTGGGGCGTGGCCTGGTAGAGTTGGGGGGCGGGGCCTGGAAAAGCAGGACCAGGGCTGAGATTGGCAAAGCCCGGGGACCTGGGTGACTTAGAAACCAGGTGCTACGGACGGAGAACCCGGCGGGGGTGGTGTTCGCGAGGAGCCACAACTTAGTGGTCGGGCCGTCCTGGTCGGAGCCTTGGAATGAAGGGTGGGTTCTGCATGCGTCTCGGGGGTTTGGGTGGTCGTTCAATCAGGGGCTGTGTGTGGGAGCCCAGGGCGGAGGCAGATCTTCGCCGTTTAGGGCCCTCTGCACTGTCTCCCAGGCCTCCGGAACCCTTTCCTCCGGGAGAATGTGCCAGAAGCACATCTGCACGCTGGTACCCACAGCGCCCAGGGCATCATGAGCTGTGGTGGCGATGGCCGCCCGGAGCCCAGCCCCTTGGCATCCCCGACGGAAGAAGGTACTCTCAAGCCCTTGGACCGCCTATACTAGAACTCCACTCCCTCTAGAACCCAGGCGTCTGGAACCTCAATCCTTGATCTCCAAAAGAGCCTGGAGTGCAGACCCCCACTCCCCCCGCCCCAGGGGCTCTGAAATCCACACCAAGTCCAGGTCTTTTTTTTAAAAAAAATTTTTCTTATTGACTTCAGAGAGGAAGAGAGAGAAAGAGAAATATCCATAATGAGAGAGAATGATAGCTCGGCTGCCTCCTGCACGCCCCCTACTGGGGATCGAGCCCACAATCCAGGCATGTACCCTTGACGGGAATCGAACCTGGGACCCTTCAGTCCGCAGGCCGACGCTCTATCCACTGAGCCAAACCGGGTCTTGAACCTTCTCCTTCTCCAACACCCAGTCATCTCAGTCTCCAGCCCTTCCCTCCCCTGGGATCCCAGCCTCCAGGTGCCTTCTCTCTTCTGCCCACCAGACACGTCCTATCCTGAGTTGGAGGAGGTCTTCGTGGAGGATGTTCCCACCTTCCGCCCTCCTTTCAAAGGGCCCCCAAGGATAAGATGCAGGGGTTGGATACCCCACGGACGACGTGGTAATTTGGGGGACATCGTCAGGCCCTCTGCTCCGAGTGGCAAATCCTCCCCCCTTTTGTAACAGCCTTTTGGAGATATAGTTCACATACCATACAGTTCACTCATTTAAAGTTTACAATTCCAGGGTTCTTAGTATATTTACAGAGATGCGCACCTATCGCCACAATCAATTTTCCTGCATTTTCATCACCCCCAGAAGAAACCTGTACCTCTTACCAATCACCACCCCCCTTTCTCCTAGCCCTAGGCAACCACTAATCCTAGATTTGCCTATTCTCGATGTTTCAGATAAACAGAATAATACGCAATATGATCTTTCATAACTGGCTTCTCATGTTCGCATGTTTTTAAGGTTCATCTATGTTGTAGTATTATCAGTACTTCATTCCCTTTTATTCTTTTTTAAAAAATATATATATATATATATACATTGATTTCAGAGAAGGGAGAGGAAGAGAGAGATAGAAACATCATTGAGAGAGAATCCTTGATTGGCTGCCTCCTGCACGCCCCCTACTGGAGGTGGAGCCTGCAACCTGGGCATGTGCCCTTGACCAGAATCGAACTTGGGACCCTTCAGTCCACAGGCTGACGCTCTATCCACTGAGCCATCCCAGCTAGGGCTTCCCTTTTATTCTTTAATATTTCATTGTAATGACATTTTATTCTCACGAAAGGACTATTTCGCTATTGCAAAACAGGAATCTTAATTATCACCCCGAAACTCCACTCTCTCTCCACCCCCATCCTAGATCCCCAGTCTCTGCTCTGCTCTCTCTGGCACAAAGGGAAGGGGGAGCTCAAATCCTGCTCTGTCCTTAGGGCAGGCAGAGACTCCTTGACCTGTGTAGACCCCCTGAATGTGAGGGAGGTGAGGGGTCTGGCAAGTGAGGGCGATGAGCTACCACTGGTGACCTCGTCCCGAGCTCCTGGGACCCAGGTGTCCCGAGCTCAGTCTGCTTCCGGCTTCTTCCATTCTTTAGGGTCCAGTACAGAGGACGATAACGAATCGCAGGATGGTGGAGATGAATGCGAGTCGCCTGGAAGGGATGATGATGGGGGAAGTGGAGACTCGAGCTCCAACAGGGTGAGAGGTGGCACAGCCCATCAAGACAGAGGAAGAGGAGGGTGGTGCTAAAACTCTGCAGCCCAATCAGAGGCCCCTTTTCCTGGTGGGTAGAACCTGTGCTCACTGAGCTCGCAGAGGCTCTGAGTGCCCCATTGACCATTATGCGGTTTGAAGAGATGTGAGCACATCAAAACCCAGCCCACCGAAAGGCTGTGAGCTTGGGGGAGGGTGACACAGCCATAGGGAAGGGCCAGTTGGCACTCACTTTGGCATTGATGAAAGTGAGATACATAGTTTCAGTTGGGCTCTGGCCAGTGCCTTGAGTGGCTAGAGCATCGTGGGTTGCAAGTTTGATCCCCTGTCCCGCCAGGGTGGGTGCAGGAAGCAGCCAGTAGATGTGTCTCTCTCGCATAGATGTTTCTCTTCTCTCCCCTTCTCTCCCTCCCTCCCTTCTCTAAAAATATCAACGGAAAAAATATATATCCTCCGATGAGGATTAAGAATAAAAACAACAACAAATAGTTTCAGTTGGGTAGATCCGGGCCATATTAAGTTATCTAGATCGAATCAACACATGTTTTAGCTGAACGGGCCTTGCAAAAGGAATTCTCCAATCGGTAGATGGAGTGAGCCAGGCCGCAGAGGGAAGCTAGTGGGGCTTGGCAGGGTGGAAATCTGAAAGGGATCAGCAAGTGGCCGAGAAGTTTGACCAATAGGCAGAATACATGATCGAGAGTGGGTGTAACCCTGAGCTGGGATGGCCAATCAGTGTTTTACTAGCGGGGGATTGGGGCGGGTCTGGGCTGCACCTCAACTTGCATTTGGCATGTGGACCAGGGAGAAGACCTGGAGGAAAAGAAAGAGGAGTCGGAGTCCACAGTGAGGAATTTCCCAGGGCTGGCTGCCGGGAAGATGTCCGAGGCCCTGGAAAGCGAGGGCGTCGGGGGCTTCGGCAGTGCGCGGAGCTCGCCCCTCTCGTCTCTCCTCGCCCCAGACCCGCGGCTCATCGCGGACTTGGAAGAATATGTGTTGCGGCCAGCGGTGCGCGGCTGCACGATGCAGTGTTGCATCAGCCGCGACAAGCGTGGCATAGACAAGGGCATGTTCCCTTTCTACTATCTCTACTTGGAGGCGATCAACGGCCACAGCCGGAAGGTGCCGTCTGGCGGCGGGGGCCAGCCCCCACCTCTCAGGGGCTTGACTTTCACGAACCCAGGCCTTGCTCATCACTGAGCTGGGACCTGTCCACTCCAACTCCAAAACGTCACAGAACCGAGCTCCTTAGAGCCCAGTGGCAAAGGCCCTACCCGTCCCACAGCCGAGGACCTGCCCACGGTGGAGCTGGGCCCGGCTTTTTCAAACTCAGACCACGCCCTACCGGGGTCCAAAACCTCACCCTTACACACCCTCCAGAACCCATCTTTGTAGGTCCGAGTCTGGCCGCTTCACGGAGCCGCCTTTGCGATAAGGCCCCACCCAAGCCCCTCCCTTGGTGGATTGACCATGTATTCTGCCTATGCAGAGCCAAGCCACGCCCCTCTCAGCCTAGCCACGCCCCTCTCTTTGTGGCTGCCCCTCAAGGCACTTTAAATCTCCCAGAAAGGGCTTTTCCTACTCAGAGCCAGATCCACTTTTCCAGGATGCAACACCTACTGAAGACCTGGTGCAATGTCCAAAGGGAGGCTCTTCCCTGTGGTCCAGAGTCAGGCCTGCTAGTCAGGTTCTCTCCTGCCTGGGCTCTGCCTGAAGGGGAGACATTAAGATGTGTAGCTCCCCTTCAGGACCCAGCTGTGACTTCCTTCAGTGGGAACTGCACCTCCCAGCAAGCCTGGGGACGCTTATTGCCCCGTTACCCTTTCCTCTGCCCCCCCCCGCCCCCCCGCCACGGACATAACGTTTCCTTATCTTTAGACCCCTAGCCCTCGCCCAATCCCCGAAATCGAATCTGATGGGCTGTTCTCTGATCCACAGCACTTCCTTCTCGCTGGGCGCAAGAGAAAAATGAGCACAACCTCTAATTATCTAATTTCCCTGGACCCCACAGACCTGTCTCGGGATGGGCAGAGCTTTGTGGGCAAAGTCAGGTAGGCAGAGCCCTGATGTGTGTGGGAAACAGATGGCAGGTGATAGGGCACCCGGGGGAAGAAGGGGGAGAATTGAACTACATTTCCCAACAGGCCATAGAGCACAAGTCCTACCTGCTCTAGGAAGGACCTTTTCTCGTAGGGACTGGTGGGCTCTGGAGTTCTTCAGGTTGTAGCCCCAGGGTGGTTAGAAATCGAACTGGAGGTTTTGGAGCACAGGCTGGCCTTTAAGACATTTGACTTCTTGAAAGGCCAGGGGCTGGGACTCCTCTAATACTAACCAACAGGTATTAGAGGGAAGAGGGTTCCTAAAGGGCCGAGGCAGGAAATTATGGATCGCAGAGCTGGGACTGTGGCTACATGGAAATGAGTCTTACGTAGTAGAGGACTGATGGGAAGAATTGATAAGATGGCATGGGAAAGCAGTTAATGTACAGCATAATGGTAACGATGATTATTTTATTCTGGCCGCGGCCTTCCTGGAGTAGATCTAATGTCTTCGGCACCAAATTCACCATTTTCGACAATGGGGTGAATCCTGAAAAAAAGTATTTCATCCCAGACACTGGCCGGATCAGGGAGGAGCTGGGCGTTGTGTGTTATGTAAGTATCCCGGAGACTAGAGAGTGAATGGAGCAGATGGTGGGGAGGGAGAAAGAGCCAGGCCAACTGGAGCATGATACCCTAGGATACCAACGTCTTGGGATTCCGAGGGCCCCGGAAAATGTCTGTGATCATTCCAGGAATTGATGGCCAGAACAAGAGAATCAGCGTCCAGCCACAAAATGTGAGTTGGCTGAGGTTGAGAATCTCTGGGTCGATAGGGGAGGAAGGGCTATGTCACAGGCCCTAGGTCCTAAGGGAGGAGGGGCCCATGGTTGCAGCTCACATGTGCAGCTGGGAGGATCTTGTCAGATTTATGTCTCAGGGAGGGGAGGCTAAAAACTCAAAATTGTGTGTCCGGAGAAAAAAAAGCCTAGTTTGTGGTAGGTTAACCACGCCCCCTGCTTTGCCCTCTAGGAGCGGGACCGCCTTATGAGTCGCATCCAACGGGGGGCCAACCAGGGGCTGGTCCTCCTGCAAAACAAAGCCCCATCGTGGAGCTACGAGACTGGCGCCTACGTGCTGAATTTTCACGGTCGAGTCACTCAGGCCTCGGTCAAGAACTTCCAGATTGTGTATCCAGATGACCGTGAGCTCCTAGGAACCCGGCTGGGGGGTGGGGGGCGGAGGGAACGGGGATACCAACGGACAAGAACTACTACTCCCATCAACACTTAAGGTTTTCTCTCAGCAAGGCCCACGCCACGCTGTTGCAAAGCCTCTTGGGAACTGTAGTTTATGGGGCACTAATAGGATTTCCCGGCAAAGTAAGGGCGCCTTACAGCCTCTTAGTTTTCTCAGCTCATAGGGCCCGGGCAGGGTAAGAGTCTGACTAGGTTTCTAACTTGCTCCTCAGCCGACTACTTGGTGCTTCAGTTCGGCCGCGTGGCCCCAGACATGTTCACCATGGACTTCTGCTTCCCTCTTTGCCCACTTCAAGCCTTTGCTATCTGCTTGTCCAGTTTCGATGGGAAACTGGCGTGCGAGTAATCCAATAAAATATAATACTCTCCACAGCGCCTGTGCCTGCTCACTTGGAAAACGGCCTCCAGCATGCCTTCTTGCACCACCTTACTAACCAACACCTATTAGACGTGCTCTGGGTTCTAGGGAGTGGGCTGTTGAGCAGCACCTGCTCTGGTGGCACTCAGTGCATCATGGGAGACAGGGTCTTAACAAAAAACCAAACCACTCCTCCGCTATGAAGGAGAAAAGCCCATGGAGGCACAAGTCAGCTGGCTCAAAGCAAGGCATCTAAAAGAAGTTTTCATACTACACCTATAGAATCACAAGGAACTAGCTGATTCACCAGGGGTCAGGAATGGGAACATCAGATAGTAGACAGAGCTCATGCAACGATCATAAAGTGGAAGGGGGCTAGGTTGTTTGGGAAAATGAAAGGCTAGTGAGGTAGGAGCCTGGGGAACAAATGGAGGAGGGGGAGCGGGAGGCTGGACAGGGTGCCCTTGCTGGACAGATCTTACTAGATCAGAAGAAAGTTCTAAGCTGGAGACATAAACTTGGGTGGTAACTGAAGACATGCATGGGTGAGGGAGAATAATTACAATACCCGCTAACACATTGAACTGACAAGCATTTTTTTTTTAATATCTTTGATTTCAGAGAGGAACGGACTCCTGCACACCCCCCACTGGGGACCAAGCCTGCATCCTGGGCATGTGCCCTGATGGGGAATCGAACAGTGACCTGGTTTATAGGTCAACACTCAACCACTGAGTTGGCTGGGCAACAAGCATTACTTTAAACACAAACTCCTTTGGGGCCTTTGTAATCCCCTAAGGTATATGCAGTTGTTTGCCACAGATAAGGAAACGGAGGCAATGGGCACAGGGCTTGTAAATGTTAAATCGGGGCAGTTGAAAAACCTTAAGGAACTCACCATGTGAAGGCCTGTAGGAGGATGTTTGTATATTCCCGGAAGATGCAGAAAATTGGAGCTTAACCCTTGGTTAGAGACCAGTGAGTCTAGCTCCCAGCCCCCTTTGAGGAGATAATTGTCCCAAGTCTAATAAAATTTAGGTGGAAGCCAAAGAAAAACTACAAAACTCCCCCGCCTTTGTTCAAAAGAAGCCTCAGGAGAAGAGGCAAATTTGAGGGATGATGAGAAATGTAGTTTATCCTCTATTAAGGCACCGCCTCTTTCCTATTCCCCCCAACTACTTCCAGGACCCAGGAGAGGTAGATACTGTCAGTTCAGATACACAAGGTGACATTGCTCAGTACAAACCAAAAGATTTTATTTCTTAAACCAACTGGTAAAAAAATAAATAGTGAATAACACAAAAACCACAGGATCCTAGCCACGCCTCCCACTGAGGTCTAAGGCAGGAGACACGGACACACAAAGAGGGGAGGGAGAGGCCACAGTATGGCTCAAGAGTGTGGCCTGGACACAGGATGTGGGCAAGGTCTGGGTCGTGGCAGGTATGGCAGCCAGAGAAGAGGGAGGGTCCCCGAGGCGTGCCCAGGCCCTGGCCCGAGCTGCAGGGGTGAGGCAGGGGCCCAGTTTCTCCTCAGCCTGGGCAATTCGGCGGGCAAAGCGGCTTCGATCCCGGGCAAACTGCTCCCAGGGGCCCCTGCGGGCAGCCTGGGCTGGTCCAGCCCAGACAATCAGGAAATGGATGGAGACCTTCTCAGAGAAGTGCACCTGGAGACAGACCGGCACAGACATACAGACACAGGATACACACGGCCACAGGGGGGAGAGGGAAGAGAGAACCAGACAAAAATTACACAAAAATGCTTGCTATCTGTCTAGTCACCTGCCTGCCACCAAATTCTCCGTCTGACTCACTGAAGACGGAGGTGGTTCTCTGGGGCTGACAAGTACCACAGCTGTTCCCAGGGGAGCCCAGCCTCTTGCAAAGGATTGCATTACAATGAGCACAGCCCTCCCAGTGGAGTTCACATGCAACCCTCTGTAACACACAGGGGACCAGTCCCAGTTCCCTCCCCCCTAACACTCAGGAATCCCAGGTGCTCTCCCTCCCGGGGCACGCCCACGCCTCTCAGCTCATACTGGGCTAACCCCCGAACCTGTCTCTAGCCCCCTTTTTTCATACTTTCTAGTGAGCCAAAGCAGCCCTCTTGTTTCTTCTATCCTAAGCCCTTGTTTTACTGTCCCCAGCTTTAAAAAATAAGGGAATCAGAGCCCTCAGCACCAACCTTTCTGGCCTTTTCGGGAGTCTCGGGGTCCGGATGCTGGGTGGGGGTTCCTGCAGACTTGAGCCGCCTTTGCAGTCGGAGGGGCAGCCGAGGAAGAGGCCAGGGAGGTGGTGGCTTCTCTCCTGGTAGATAGATGGCCACTCGGAAGGGCTCAGCTTCTCCCCATTCCTCAGCAGCTTCCACTCCCTCTGCCTCCTCTCCAGGTGGGTATGTCCAGTCCCTGAGGAGGGCACTCTGGGCCTGAAGGGAAGAACTTGGGTCCGAGCCAGCTGTCTCTGAATCATCTTTCTCATCCTCATTCTCCTCATACTCCTCCTCTGTGTCTTCTCCTGGCCGGTACACCCAGGCCCTCAAGAAGGTACTTGTGGGGGGAATCGAAGAGGGACCCTCAGCTTTTCCCTCCTCCTCAGCTGCTCCTGAATCACTGTCCTCATCTTCCTCCTCTGTGTCCTCTCCTGGTCGGTACATCCAGGCCCTCAAGAAGGTACTTGTCGGGGGAATCGAAGAGGGACCCTCAGCTTCTCCCTCCTCCTCAGATGCTCCTGAATCACTGTCCTCATCTGTGTCCTCTCCTGGCCGGTACACCCAGGCCCTCAAGAAGGTACTTGTGGGGGGAATCGAAGAGGGACCCTCAGCTTCTCCCTCCTCCTCAGATACTCCTGAATCACTGTCCTCATCTTCCTCCTCTGTGTCCTCTCCTGGTCGGTACACCCAGGCCCTCAAGAAGGTACTTGTGGGGGGAATCGAAGAGGGACCCTCAGCTTCTCCCTCCTCCTCAGATACTCCTGAATCACTGTCCTCATCTTCCTCCTCTGTGTCCTCTCCTGGTTGGTACACCCAGGCCCTCAAGAAGGTACTTGTGGTGGGGATGGCTGACAGACCCTCAGCTTCCCCTGAAGCGTTGTCCTCCTCCTCCTCCTCCTCTTCATCATCCTCTGTGATCTTATTGGGTTGATGCTGCCAGGTCCTGAGCAGGGGCCTGTGGCTTAGAACTGAGGAGTGTGGCTCTGGGTCGGCTTCTTTCTCAGCCTTTCCATCCTTTTCCTCAGATTCCTCCCCTGAATTACACTCCCAGGCGCTGGGGCGGGCGCCTGCAGATGAAGAGGTAATGGAGGTCTTCCCGGTGTCTTCACTCTCCGTTCTTTCTTCCTCCTTAGCTCCAGCCTCTTCTGCCCCTGCAGCACACACCCAAGCACTGGGCTTGGATCCTGGGGATGAGGGGGAAGTAGATGTTGTGGGAACTTTATTTACACCTTCTCCATCCTCCTCCTCCTCCATCCCTGGACAGTGCTCCCAGTGTGACGGAGGGAAAGAGAAGAATGTCATCACTTTATCTTCAGCAACTCCTCCTTCCTCAGTTTCCTCTTCCCCAGGAGGATCTTGCAGGGTTCTCAGAAGGCTGAGGGTCATGGGAGCAGGCTGGCCACCTATATAGTCACTTCCTTGCTCTTTAGGGATGCTGGTTGCTTCTTCCCCACCATATTCTTCATCATCTTCTGAAAGATCCCAGGCTTCAAGAAGAGAACTGTTGGTCTCTCGGTCAGGGCAGGACGACCCGCCATCCTCCACAGCTCTTCCACTGTCTCCAGGCTCCCGCGGAGGGTGCCCACCCCATGGGGCATAGTGGGTGGCCAAAGCAGCCTTAGTCGCTTCCTCCAGGCAAGCATCTCCCTGATCTGCACTCGTTACTGCGTCCTCCAGCCAGGGCTTTAGAGGTCCTGGGCCCCTCAGCCGGCTCCAGGCCCTGCTGAGGAGGCCCATCAGCGGGGACAGGAGGAAGAAGGGATGGGCATCCCTCCAGGGGAGGGGCTGGGGCACTTGGCCTGGAGCCATCTGTCTGGGCTGGGGAAAAGGGAGTAAGAAGCCATTTAGGAAACAGCATCAGGGGATGACCTTGAATCAGCAACGGAAATGCTAACACAAATAGCAACATGAGTCCCTGCCAACATTCCTTTCCGATTACCAGCCACTCCCATCTCGGTCTGTAGGTTCCTGCCTCTCTTTCCTTTCAATACCCAGGAGCCCAGGTCCCCATTCCCTCCTTCCTTAGACCCAAAAGTCCAAGGCCCCCATTTTCCCTCAGACCCACAAGTCCCAGGCCGAACACAGGTCCTCTATTAGTTCCCCTTCGGGATAAAGTCCTGGTCTTTGGTTCTCTCATCCTCCTGAGGATTGACAAGCCAGGCCCCCAACACCCGCCACCCTTGGAGACTCAAAAATTCCGACCCCGGACCTCCCCACCCCCATCTGTAATACTCTCAACAATAAAGATAAACATTTAAAAAATAACAAAACAAGGCCACTAGAGGCACAGAGGCACACACACAGAGGGAAGATGGCCATGTGACAACGGAGGCAGAGCTAGGAGCCACGGAATTCCAAGAACTGACAAAAAACACCAGAAAATAAGAAGCAAGGAAGAATTCTGTCTTAGGGCCTTCAGAGGGAGCGTGGCCCTGCTGCCATCTTTTTTTTTTTTTTCCTGCTGCCATCTTTACTGCAGACTTCTAGCCTCCAGAACTGTGCGGAAATAAATTTTTTTAAGCAAAAAAAAAAAAAAAAAAATTCCGGCCTCCTCAGCCCCCTGGTTGCTCACTGGGGCCCGGCTCAGCACTCCACGCTCCCAATCCCTCTACTCACTTCCGAGCCCTGGGGCCTGGCCCCGCCCCGCCCCGCCGCCCCCAACCGGACACAGGAATTCCGGTTCCCAGGCCTCTTCCTCAGGACCCAGGAGTCCCGGCCCCGAACATGCCTGTCGCATTACCCAGAGGTCCAAGCTCCCTCCTCCTTAACGACCGAAAGTCTGAGCCCTCGCCCCCAGCCCGCGGAGACCCGTGCGTTCCCGTCCCTCACTCACCGGATGCGGGCTGCGCGTCACCTCGGGGGCAAAAGCGCCGGCTTGGGCTGCCAGGAGCATTCGCGGGTCCGGACGGCTCGGGAGGCCAGCGCTTTCATCTCGCCCTGCGGCGTGGGGCTCGGCGCTCAAACTGTCTCCGGTCGCTGCAAGCGCGGTCGCGACAAACGGGCGCGGGGTCTCGAGGAGCGGCGGGGTCTCGCGGCGTGGCGCATGAAGTCAACAACTGAACTGGGAAGGGAGCCAATGAGTGTGCGCCACCGCCCGCGAGGCCTTTTATAGTCTTGCGCCACCGGACGTGCTGACGTCTCGAAAAGGGGCGGAGCTTCGAAACGAAAAAGCAGAGAAACAGGAAGGGAAATAAGGTTGGAATTCTCGCGGGGATTCCGGGCTGTGCGTCGTCACCGCGGCATTTTCAGCGTGACCACGCCCCGACACAAGCCAGCTGTCAATCAAATGCGTCGTGGGCTCTAGCCGTGAGGGAGCTCTCTGACCCCAATTGAACCCGCAGCCCCCAGTCTAGAGTCTCCCACCTTCGCATCCCGTGGGCTTCCTCCCCGGTATGGGAGAGTATTCTTGTTTTTTTGTTTGTTTGTTTTTAATATATTTTTTTATTGATTTCAGAGTGGAAAGGAGAGGGGGAGAGAGAGAGAGATAGAAACATCAATGATGAGAGAGAAGCATTGATCGGCCCGCCTCCTGCACGCCCCCAACTGGGGATCGAGCCCGCAACCCAGGCATGTGCCCTTGACTGGAATTGAACCTGGGACCCTTCAGTCCGTAGGCCAACGCTTTAGCCACTGAGCCAAACCAGCTAGGGCAGTAGTCTTGTTTTTAATTTCGAAGATGAAGAAACTGAGTCTTGGGAATGGAGTGCGCCTGCCCAAGGTGGCCTGGGGATCGAGCCCGCAACCCAGGCATGTGCCCTTGACTGGAATTGAACCTGGGACCCTTCAGTCCGTAGGCCAACGCTTTAGCCACTGAGCCAAAACCAGCTAGGGCAGTATTCTTGTTTTTAATTTCACAGATGAAGAAACTGAGTCTTGAGAATGGAGTGCGCCTGCCCAAGGTGGCTACAGCAGAGTGTAGATTCGCAGCAAATGAAAACTAGAATGTAAGCATCCTGAAGGTAGATCCTTTATTTTGCTCACTGCTTTCTTCCCAGTGCCTGGCACATAGTAGGTACTCAACCAATATTTAGTGAGTGGACACCCCTTCCCGGTTTCATGCACAAGGCTCCATGCCTGGATTTCACCCGCTTCAAAAATCATCCAAGATTACACAAACTGAAATCCTGGTTGGGTGGCATCAAATGAACCTGATGGGAGCGGGGGTCTTCTGCCAAAAGTTCCAGGCCTAGGGCCTGGCTCGAGAGCCGCGGTTTGCTGACCACGGGCCTAGCCCAATCCCCTTGGGAGGTGAGTAAACCGGGACAAGCAGAATAGGGAAACCGAGGCACTCAGATAGCAGCCACCTAGTAAATCCTATCTTCCCTAAACCAAGGACATTTAAAAGAATAAGTGGGGCCCTAACTGGTTTGGCTCAGTGGATAGAGCAGTGATGGCAAACCTTTTGAGCTCGGCTTGTCAGCATTTTGAAAAACCCTAACTTAAATCTGGTGCCTTGTCACATATAGAAATTTTTTGATATTTGCAACCATAGTAAAACAAAGATGTATATTTTTGATATTTATTTTATATATTTAAATGCCATTTAACAAAGAAAAATCAACCAAAAAAATGAGTTCGCGTGTCACCTCTGACACGCGTGTCATAGGTTCGCCATCACTGGGATAGAGCGTCGGCCTACAGACTGAAGGGTCCCAGGTTCGATTCTGGTCAAAGGCATGTACCTTGGTTGCAGGCACATCCCCAGTAGGGGGTGTGCAGGAGGCAGCTGGTCGATGTTTCTAACTCTCTATCCTTTTCCCTTCCTTTCTGTAAAAAATCAATAAAATATATTTTAAAAAGAAAAGTAGGTGGGACAGGCAGAAATCCAATCAGTGCCATTTGCCAACCACACCCAAAGACAGATGAGATTAAGATAATAAATCTCCTTTCATTGGCTCATCTGTTCCAGTTAGAATTGTTAACCCCGCCCGCAAACTGAGTTTCCCCCGTTTTCTCTTTCATAATTCATAGCAAAACTTATATTAAAGGTCAAGTACTGTTTCCTGAGTGAAGGGGAATTACCACAGCAGCACGGTGAATGTGCTAGAGCTCACATGTATCCTGTGTGGGCTTTCCAGTCTGAACAGCAACACGAGGTGTCTTCTGGTTAAGAGTTTAGTATTGTTGCTGGGAGCAGTCAACTGAGTAAACATGAAGGAGGCTCCACAGAAGGGTTACCACTAGACTTAGGGGCCACATTGTGTTTTGTGGGATAAAATGCTGATGTAAACAAAGACGCCTCCCGACAAATGTTGGGGTGATGTCACATTGGAGCAACTAGTACCTCTGTGGGCAGCGGGAAGGGCACAGGTGTTAGACCTCTGGGGTCAGGCCCTACTTGGGTTCAGCGACCTTGGTTGTTGGGTTCTGGCTACAAAAGAATTCAGAGCCAAGACTCAAACTATAAGAGAATATTTATTTATAAAATTATGGAGGTGGCCCCAGCCGGTTTGGCTCAGTGGATAGAGCGTCGGCCTGCAAACTGAAAGGTCCCAGGTTCGATTCCGGTCAAGGGCACATGCCCAGGTTGTGGGCTCGATCCCCAGTGGGGGGCAGGCAGGAGGCAGCCGATCCACCATGATTCTCTCTCATCGTGGATGTTTCTATCTCTCTCTCCTTCTTCCTTCCTCTCTGAAATCAATACAAATATATTTTTAAAAAACCATGAAGGTGGAAGAAGTAATTCGTAGAAGAAATAGGCTTAGGACTTCTTCCTTCCTCTCTGAAATCAATACAAATATATTTGTATTGATTAAATACAAATATATTTGACACCTGGGGTAGCGGAGTGAGGGAGGCAAAGGAGTGCTCCTGGGAGGGAGAGCCCTCGGGGTCCTCTGTTCTAAGGGTTTTAAGGGTGGAGATTTTAGGGGAGGTACCAGGGGGAAACACACACACACACACACACACAAAGGTCCTAACAAGTGCTCTCCTCCCAGAAGCACCCCCTCGCCTTCCCCTCCCACCCCTTCTCCCCCCACAGGCCTGCACCCCCTAAACTCTAAGGGACCCCAGGAGGCTTGCAACCATGGCAGCAATGGGCAGCGGCAGCTCATCCCGGGCCAACCCCCTGACCCTGTCCCCCAAGCCCCCCTTTCTCTGACTTCTTAGTGAGCCAGAGCAGCCCAGCCCAGCTCATTTCCCCAGCCCTTCCGTGTTTCACTGTCCCCAGCGTCCACAAAAAGCATCTAAAATTCACCTGGCTTCCTGTTGTGAATTTTTTCCTGCAGGAAGTCAAAAACCCACACACTACCGCCGGCCCTAGGCAGACCCTCTCAGGGACAGGTCGCCTTCCTGGTAACACCCCTCCCTACCTGGTCCATCATTTTGCTCCTCAAAATATGCCCAGGAACCACGTCTCCCTCCTGGGGGGGTCAGTCTTAGCCCGGAGCAGAATTCTCACCTGGATCTGAGGTGGATCTCTGACCCGCTATAGCCAGAATCAACTTGACCCTGCTAGAGCCAGAATCCAGGACTTCAAGGCCACTCCCTCCTCCCAGGAGGACCGGGACCCACCCTCAGAGCCACCACTTCCTGACCCAGGCTCCACTCACAACTCAGGAGTCCTGAGTCCTAGCTCACACCTTTCCAGGTACCCAGGGCTCTGAAACACCACCCCTCCCAAGAGCCAAGCCATCTCCATTCTGGGGACCCGTCTCTCAGGCTCCTGACCCCAACCAGCCCGTGGAGATCCTGGCGTTGAGGCCCAGCTCCTACTCTCCACAAACATTTGGGATGACCAGCCTCAGCCCTTAGGGGACCCGGGCTCTCCAGGCCCCAGCCCAGCAGGGAGCCAGGAGTCAAGGGTGGCCCAGCTCCTCCCCTCAGCTGTGGGGGCAGCTGAGCCAGGGGTCAGGCTGTGGTGGGGAGGCCAAGAGGGGCGGGGTCAGCGGGGATTGGGAGGGGAGACAGCAGCGTGGGCGGCTGGAGGGAGGGAAAGACCAGCAGAGAGAAGGAAACTGGGAGAGGGAAGAAGAGAAAGTGAAAAGGAGAAGCAGGGAGAGGAGGAAACAGCAGAAGTGGAGGGCTAGAGAGAGAGAGGAGAGAGAAAGAGGGAGAGATTGAATGGGAGGGGGAGAGAGAGACTTGGGCTAGACGGAGAGAGAGAGAGGGAAAGAACAAGATTAGAGATTTAAGGAACAGACTGGAGTCCCAGAGGAAAAGATTTAGACAGAAACAGAAACAAGGATTGGGAGAGAAAGTGATATGGGTGTGTGTGTGTGAGGGAAGGAGGGAGGGAGAGAGAAATGAGTAAGAGACTGGAAGAGACAGAGATCAGAGAGGGAGAGAGACAGAGGTGAGACGGGGAGACAGGGACAGTCTGAAAGAAAGGGAGAGCGAGAAGAAGAGGCCATAAGAGACACAGAGAGTGTGTGAGAGAGCAGAGAAGTGAGACAGGCCTATGAGGGGCAGCCCCAGAGGGGCACTGGATGAGCTGCGGCTGCGCCCAGCACCCACGCCACCCTCTTGCCCCCTGTCCTTGGGACCCGGAGCTGGTAAGTTCCCTGGCTGGGCTGAAAGGGGTGCACATTCCTGGTGCCCCAGGGCTTGGCAGGGATGGTTTGGGGTGCCTGTGGGAGGGGTGAAGGGGTGCAGGAGACAGTAGCTGGGGGAAGCCGGAAAGAGGGGTCCCTAAGCACAGAGAGGGGAGAGGGTCAAATTCCTGGCCATTGTGCGGGGGTGGGGGGTGGGGGTGGGGGGTGCCAAGAATAAAGGAGCCCCTATTCTCTGTCTTGGGCCACGGACAGCTGCCCCCTCCCCGCAGCTGCCAGTGCCGCCCACCTCTCTCTTGGCATCACCCTCGGTATGCGGGCCCAGGCCGGGCCTCGCCCAGCCCCCCCGGCCCCCAAACAACAGGCTCTTTCTCCGCAGCCTCCTCCGACCTGCGAGCCCCTGACCTCGGCTCTGTCCCCAGCCGGGTCAGCTGCAGGGACGCGCACACAGTCCCTTTCTTTCTCGCCCTCGATGGAGGAGGGCCGGCCTCGGAGCAGCCTCAGCCTGGCCAGCAGCGCCTCTACCATTTCGTCGCTCAGTAGCCTGAGCACCAAGGTGGGAGCTTCCTGGGGGGGCCGGGGAGGAGGGCGGGGCGCGGGCTGCCCCCTCCTCCGGTTTCCTAGCCCTGGGTGGGGGCCACCCCAGGGACTCCGGTTGTCAAGAGCAAAGATCCTTAGCAACAGGGTCGGCCAGGCCTGGTTAGGGCCCGCACTGACCACCCGCTGCAGCTAGGAATTCCGACGCACTTGCAGCCGTCCCCACCCCTTGCATTTTCCTGATTCAAAGCCAGAGGCACCACCGGATCGAGTCTGGCTGCTAAGACAGGCCACGCCCCAGCCACGAGCCACGCCCCCCAGGACCTCGGATGCAGTGGCGGCTCAGTGGCTCCTGAGCTCCCTGCCCAATCTCTAGCCATCCATGCGCCCAGGGCTGAAATCCGACAAGGAGAGACCTTTCTCTGACCGTCAGGCCCCATGAGGCCCAAGATACTTGCATCCCACCTGGTCGCCCAGCCCAGAGTTCGGTGACACCGGGTTCCCTTGTCCTCCCGCCATGCCCCTCCCTCATTCCCACTTTCCCAAGTTCCGAGTCCATAGATTCCAACCTGACCTTGCTCAGCACCATCCCTGAGGGCAGCTGTGGGAATGCGGCCGTGGATGCCTGAGACCCTGTGTGCACAGGAGAGAGAGGGGCTCTGCCTGTTGGGATGGAGCAGTGGTCGGCACACTGCGGCTCGCGAGCCACATGCGGCTCTTTGGCCCCTTGAGCGTGGCTCTTCCACACAATGCCACGTGCGGGTGCGCACGTACAGTGCGATTGAAACTTCGTGGCCCATGCGCAGAAGTCGGGATTTTGTGGAAGAGGCGCACGTACAGTGCGGTTGAAACTTCGTGGCCCATGCGCAGAAGTCGGGATTTTGTGGAAGAGCCACACTCAAGGGGCCAAAGAGCCGCATGTGGCTCGCGAGCCGCAGTTTGCCGACCACTGGGATGGAGTGATTCGGGGGGCCCCTCCACCCCGGACGTGGTTGCTGAGCGATGCCTCTCTCTGGCCCTGAGCGTCCTTTGATTCTGACTCATCGCATGGAGGCCTCCTGATATGGGGACTTCCCAGGCAATACTTCCAGCTCAGATCTCAAAGGCTGCCCCACATCTCCGGCTCCGGTGGCCAAGGGCATCCTCTCCTTGGCGGTGGACCCTTCGCTCCAAAATTCCTTCCTCCTGGGCCAGCCTCTTCCCTGCCTCTGAACACCTCTCTCCACACGTGATAAGTGTCTCAGCTCTGCACTGTGCACGCCCATTCTGACCTCAAAGCTCAGCTCCCTCCTGCACCTGGTCTCCATGGGCACCAGACGAGGGGGTCAGCCGCCTCCCCCTGCACTGCCCCCCCCCCCCAAGCCTTGTTCACTTGTCTCCTTCTCTCCTCAGAAGCCCACCCGGGCAGTAAGCAAGGTGCACGCGTTCGGGAAGAGAGGCAATGCGCTCCGAAGGGACCCCAACCTCCCGGTGCACATCAGAGGCTGGCTGCATAAGCAGGTGGAGTGAGCGGGAGAAGGGACCAGACAGTCCGAGTGACCTAGAGGCTGTGCCCCCGGCTGCCTGCTCTTTCTCTCCTTCTAAGCCTCCACATTTGTTTTGTTTTGTGTTGCTTTTGCTCTCATTCATTCTCCCCCTTATTCTGTCATGGTTTCATTCATCCATTCCTTCACTCAATGAGAACTTCTTGGACATGGCAGTGTGCCAAGCCCAGGGCCACATACCACGCAAATAGGCCAAGTATCCATAGTCCATTCAGGATGGGGGTGGGGCAGGGGTGGTTAACAAATCAGTATACAAATAAATGGAAGGAGTGAAATAATACGTTGTATATAATCCTATATAAGAAAAGGCTAATATGCAAATAGACCAAACGGCAGAATAACCGGTCGCTGTGACAAGCAACTGACCACCAGGGGGCAGATGCTCAACGCAGGAGCTGCCCCTTGGTGGTCAGTGCGCTCCCACAGGGGGAGCGCTGCTCAGCCAGAAGATGGGCTTATGGCTGGTGAGCACAGTGGCGATGGCAGGAGCCTCTCCTGCCTCTGTGGCAGCGATAAGGATGCCCCTGTGGGGAGCGGGCCTAAGCCGTCAGTCAGACATCCCCCGAGTGCTCCCAGACTGCGAGAGGGCGCAGGCTGGGCTGAGAGACCTTCCCCCCCCTGGGTGCACAAATTTCGTGCACTGGGCCTCTAGTATGTAAATAAAGTCGATGTGAAATCGATGATTTCAGATCATAGGAATTTCTGTGAAATGAGGTGCTGTGAAGAACTAATACAGGGATGTTTTCTAAAGTGGTTGAGGGATGAAAACTACCTTTGTCAGTTGGTCAGGGAAGGCGTCTCTGAGGGGGTGACATACATTTAAGCTGAGAACTGAATGACAAGAAGGAGCCCCTCATACTAAGATCTGGGGGGCAGAGGGAATCCGAAAGCAAAAGGCCCCACCACAGGCCAACGCTGGGTGCCTGGAGAAGCCAAGGGGACAGAGAGGCAGTGATTCTCAAAGTGTGTCCCAGGCTGGCAGCCCCAGCAGCACCCAGGCACTTGCTGGACAGGCGAGCTGTCAAACTCCATCCCAGGTCCACTGACTCTGAACCGTGGGGACTGGGCCCAGGAACCGGGTTTTGACAAGGCCTCCTGGTGAGTCCTCTGCACGCCCAAGTTTCAAATACCCTGGACGCCAGTGAGCCAGGGTAAGGAATTGGCGACTTATTCTAAGTGTGATGGTAAGCTCTGTTTTTGAGCAGGGGACTCACATGATCTGATTTACTTTGAAAGATTCTATTGCTTCCGTGGGCAGGGATTGAAGAGAAGAGGGGCCCAGGTTGGCAGTGGAGTAGTGCTGGCAGAGAGAGGATGGGGAGATGCAGGATGCGGGTTGTAACTCAGTGCCACCTTCCTGGCCTCTCTGTGTCTCAGGCTCCAGAATCATCAGATATATCCAGCCCCTGACCACGGGAGGCATGTATCTGTTCCAACTTTCCCGTAACTTCTCTCACTCTATTTTTTGTTAATCCTCACCGGAGGATATTTCCATTGATTTTTTTAGAGAGAGTGGAAGCGAGGGAGAGAGAGAGAGAGAAAGAGAGAGAAACATTGATGTGAGAGAGACACATTGATTGGTTGCCTCCCGCACCTGCCCCGACCTGAGGCTGGGGATTGAGCCTGCAACCAACCGAGGTCCGTGCCCTTGACCAGAATCGAACCCAAGACGCTTCAGTCTGCTGGCTCTTGCTCTATCCACTGAGCCAAACCGGCTATGGCTTCCTTAACTTCTCAACCCCCAGTTGACAGATGGGAACACCCCAGGGTCCCCATGGGAAAATGACTGTGTAAGGGCGTAGTCTGCAAGTGGTGGAACTGGGAGTCGAACTCAGGTCTGACTGTGTCCAGAATCTTCCCTCCTCTCAACCTCCTGCCTTCCTTCTGATTCTATTGCATCAGACGTGTTTCCGTCCTCCCCTCTCTCCGAGTCTTTGTACCCAAGTGTCACCGTCTCCATCTCCTTTCCCGGACCCACTCCTCATCTTCTCCTCCCTCTCTCCCCCTAGGACAGCTCCGGGCTCCGGCTCTGGAAACGCCGCTGGTTCGTTCTCTCTGGCCATTGCCTCTTCTACTACAAGGGTCAGTACCGCAGCTGGCATGGGGGAGGGACGCGCCTCCCACCCTCCCTTTCCTCTAGCCCAGTGGTTCTCAACCTTCCTAATGCCGCGGCCCTTTATACAGTTCCTCATGTTGTGGTGACCCCCAACCATCAAATTATTTTCGTTGCTACTTCATAGCTGTAATGTTGCTACTGTTATGAATCGTCATGTAAATATCTGATATGCAGGATGTCTTTTCATTGTGACAAATCGAACATAATTAAAGCATAGTGATTAATCACAAAAACAATATGTAATTATATATGTGTTTTCCGATGGTCTTAGGAGACCCCTGTGAAAGGGTTGGTCGCCCCCCAAAGGGGTCGCGACCCACAGGTTGAGAACGGAGCCTCGTGGCCTTCCGATCTCTGCGTGACCCCTGACCTCAGGCCTTCTCTTTGCAGACAGCCGTGAGGAGAGTGTCCTGGGCAGCGTTCTGCTCCCCAGCTACAGCGTCCGGCCCGATGGGCCAGGAGCCCCCCGGGGGCGGCGCTTCACCTTCACCGTGAGTCCCTCCATCCCCCGATGCGCTGTGCACTAGGCGATGCGGAAGGCTTTGGGGCACCTTTATTGTAGATCAAAGATCTTGGCCAGGATGGATGCCACCCCGGGCGTCCCAGTGGCCAGCTTTCTCTCCCCGCAGGCGGAGCATCCTGGCATGAGGACCTACGTCCTGGCGGCCGACACGCTGGAGGACCTGCGCGGATGGATACGCGCACTGGGCAGGGCCTCCCGCGCGGAGGGAGATGATGGGTGAGTTACAGGCCACGCACCTGGCCCTGCTGCTCCAACCTGGGGTGTCTGTTCATCCCCAACTCCTCCCCTGGAGGCCCTCAGCACCCAATCACCAGTCTCCTAGCAAAAGAGACTCGGTCCTTCAGGCCCCTGCTTTGCAAGAAATCCAGCTTTTCTTTTTTTAAAAAATATATTTCATTGATTTTTACAGAGAGGAAGGGAGAGGGATAGAGAGCTAGAAACATCATGAGAGAGAAACATCGATCAGCCGCCTCCTGCACACCCCCCACCGGGGATGTGCCCGCAACCAAGGTACACACCCTCGACCCGGAATCGAACTGGGGACCCTTCAGTCCTCAGGCCAACGCTCTATCCACTGAGCCAAACCGGTCAGGGCCAACTTTTCCAATTAGCAGTCTTTTCCTCTAAGCTCTGCCCACCACGTTGTCCAGGCCCCCTTATCAACATTCCACACTCTGATTGGCTCCCTCAGAAGTCTGCACCCAGAGGTTGCCCCCTACACATGTCAGTTTTTTTTAAAAAAAAATGACACAATATTTTGATCAAAATGTATTGATTTCAGAGAGAGGAAGGGAAAGGGAGAGAGAGAGAGATAGAAACATCAATGACGAGAGAGAATCATTGATCAGCTGCCTCCTGCACGCCCTCTACTGGGGATTGATCCCACAACCCGGGCATGTGCCTTGACCAGGAATCAAGCCTCAACCTCCCGGGTCATAGGTCAATGCTCAACCACTGAGCCACCCC